GAGTTTGCTTTGCCTGTCCCCATCAGAACGGTTTGGTTGGCCATTATTGCTTTGGTTTGCAAAGAGACTTCTGGGCTGAAGGTCGTGGGTGGTCCTGAGGCAGCCCTGCCAGGTAGGCAGGGATGATGCCCATCTCACAGACAAAGGAACGGAGGCTGGCTGGGTACCTGTCCACCATGAGTTACACATTGAAACTCAAGGCTGGGCTGTCCACCCAAGGTCCAGCCAGGACATGCTTCACAGTGGGAAGAAGGCTACGTGAGACTCTCTCTCACTCTGTACATGTGTCTGTGTATGTCTCTCTGTGTGTCTCTCTGTCTCTGTCTCTCTGTCCAGTTTAAGCCCATTCCTATCTACTGTCCTCATGAAATGTCAAACAAATGTGACACCCTTCCCCACCCCCACCATTTGCCCAGACTACGGCTTTGAACCTCCAAGCTCCAAGCTAAATAACCCTTGTCTCTTCATAAAGTTCATTGCCTTTTCATAAAGTTCATTGCCTTGGGTATCATGTTGTAGTAACACAAAGCTAACTAATACAGGCTGAGGCTTCAGATTCCACTGGTCAATTCTTGATTATAATTTCCTGCTCCGGTGGTACATACCAGTCCTCTGAGGACCCTGGCTAAAACTACGGAGACTCAGCCACCATCACCCCAAAACCCTAGAGGTGGAGACCTGGACTCTGCATTCTGATGTTCTCTGGCTAACACTGGCATAGACAGGTGTTGGGAATCCTTGCCTGGTGACGAGGCCTCAGAGTCTGCGCAAGAACTTCCTCCCTGCAATGCCGAGGCTCAGGTCTCCCACCCACGTCCTGCCTGAGGCCCCCGTGACCGGCAGCTAACGCCTGAGAGCCCGCAGCACACCCTCCGCCGTCACTGCGGTGCAAGTCCCTAGCACAGGGGCACCGCGGCAAGCAGAGGTGAGGCCACACGGGGACCTGTGCCTGGCCAGGCTCTGGCCAGAGAGGACATACTCGTGATCTATCCTACGTCCCAGACCCTGAAAGTCCTGCCTTGCTTTTTGATTGTGTTTTTGTCAGGGACTCGCCACTGTGCCTGAGCACTTTCACTCAAGGCTAGCACTCTACCACACTGAGCCACAACTCTACTTCCAGGTTTCTGGTTTTTTAAACTTCTGGTTAATTGGTGATTAGAGTCTCGATGACATTCCTGCCTGGGCTGGCTTTGAACCGCGATCCAAAGATCCAAAGATCTGTAGCTAGGATGACAGGCGTGAGCCACTAGCACCCCTCCCTGTCTCACTTTCTGATCACAGCACAGAAACTCTCACTGAAAACCCCAACAACTACATCCGGGCCTCCGGGAGTCATGCACACGCCCTCCTTCCCAAAACACAGCTTTGTTTGAACTGGAAAGTTCAACAATCTTGGCTGGCAGAGAAAAGCCAAGAAATGCCACAGGCTTGAGGATAGAAATAAGTAGGCACACCCAACGTGGGACCTGGGAGAGAGGGAAGGGACCCAAATCTACATGCCCCGGGGTCCTTCGACTCCAGACAACAGGCAGAAAATCTGTCAGCTGCCAGCACAGTGGTTTATCCCTTAACCCCAGTTACTTGAGAGACAGCACTTGGGAGAATCACAGTTCTATCAGGAAAAAAGTTTGGAAGATCCCATCTCAACCCCTCATCTGGGTGTGGTGCGTGCACCTGTCATCCCAGCTCCCTGGGAAGATACACAGGAGGGAGGTCCTGGACAGCCAAGGCATCATTTTGAAGTTCTGTGTGGAAAACAACTAAAGCCAAAGGCCTTCAAGAATGGCTCAAGTGGTAGCACACCGGTCTGGCAAGTGCCAGGCTAAGTTCAATCCCAGCACTGTCTAAAAGGAGGTGGAGAAGGTGGTGGTGGTGGTGGTGGTGGTGGTGGAGGAGGAGGGGGAGAAGGAGGAGGAGGAGGGGGAGGAGGAGGGGGAAGGGGAGGAGGAGGGGGAGGAGGAGGAGGAGGGGGAGGAGGAGGGGGAGGAGCAGCAGCAGGAGGAGGAGGAAGGGGAGGAGGGGGAGGAAGTGGAGAAGGAGGTGGAGGAAGTGGAGGAGGAGGTGGAGAAAGAGGAGGAGGAGGAGGAGGAGGAGGAGGAGGAGGAGGAGGAGGAGGAGGAGGAGGAGGAGGAGGAGGAGGAGGAGGAGGAGGAGGAGGAGGAGGAGGAGGAGGAGGAGGAGGAGAAAAACAACAAGAACAACAAGTCAGCTACTCAGCAAACCCCTCAGCTAAGCTCTGTAATTCTATACAAATGCCATTGTGAGAAATACACAATGAGGAAATAAGTATGTGCCACGAGTTTAATTCTCTCTGGAAGGAGGGGAGAAGGTGTAGATCACAAGCTAAGCAAGCACAAGGCCCCCAGTTCAAACCCCAGTATCGCCAAAAATAAAAGCAGGTCCCTGAGACCAGGTCTCTGATCTCAGATCTTGTCCCTGGCTGCGTTCTGTCTTACCCCTGCCACTCGTCCCCTGTGAGGTGAGCTGGTCTGCCCCACTTCCCATCAGACCTGAATGACGCAGCCAGCTGACCATGGACTGAGGCCTCTGGAACCGTGGCCCCTACTAGACCTTTCCTCCTGTGTCCTTCAGACGTCTCCTTCCCGGGAAAATGCCTGCAGAGCCACTTACAGGAGTGGGGAGCTGTTGGGCTCACCGTTTCTGAATTCAGGCCATGAGTGGCTGGCCTGTGGCTGGGCCCTGAGGGGAGGCTGAATGTCAGCGTGGGAGACTCGAGGCAGAGGAGGCCACTCGCTTTGTGGCAGCCAGGGAGCAGGGAGCGGCACACCCACGCAGGCTGGCTTCCTTCCCCCTGTCATTCACCGGGGCCCCAGCCTAACAGATGGTGCTCTTGTGTTACGGGAAGTCTCCCCTCCCAGAGTCCTCTGAGGAGATGCCTCACAGACACACCTGGAGAGCGACTTATTCCCAGGCGTCCCCGGTCCAATAGAGCTAACAAGATAGCTGAGACGTTAAATCCTTCAAGTTGTTTGTCTCACCTATTTTGCCTCAATGATCACCATACCCAGTAGCTAGTGAAAAACAAAGCTACATGACTCACACCTGTAATCCTAGCTACTGGTGAGACTGAGATCTGAGGATTGTGGTTCAAAGTCAGCCAGAGCAGGAAAATCCATGAGACTTTTTTTTTTACTGGTCGTGGGGCTTGAACTCTGGGCTTGGGCACTGTCCTTGTACTCTTCAGCTCAAGGCAAGCACTCTACCCCTTGAGCCACAGCACCACTTCCAGTTTTCTAGTGGTTTATTGGAGATAAGAGTCTCGTGGACTTTCCTGCCCCCGCTGGCTTTGAACTGCAATCCTCAGATCTCAGCCTCCTGAGTAGCTAAGATTACAGGTGTGAGCCACCAGCGTCTGGCTCCATGAGACTCTTACCTCCAATTAACCACCAGAAACCCATTAGTAAAGCTGTGGCTCAAGTGTTAGAGTGCTAGCCTTGAGTATAAAGCTCAGAGACAGCACCCAAGTTCTATGTTCAATCACCAGAACCAGCACAAAGAAAAAAAGAGGAGGGTGTCACTAGGATTCTCTTCTGGCAGAGCAATAAAGAAAGAAGAAAAACCGGGCACCAGTGGCTCACCCCTATGATACTAGCTACTCAGGAGGCTGAGATCTGAGGATCACAGTTCAAAGCTAGCCCAGGCAGGAAACTCTATGAGACTCTTATCTCTAATAAACCACCCCATGGTACTGTGGCTCAAGTGGTAGAGCTCTGGCCTTGAGCAAAGAAAGCTCAGGGACAGAGTCCAGGCCCGAGTACAAGCCCCAGGACTGGCAAAATAAAAAGAGGAAGGCACTGGAGTGTAATGTTGTTCTAAAGCATAACTGAACCAGGCTGGGACCTAGTCCTAACAGATGATCCAGTTAAAAGTGTGGCTTTCTGTGCTCTTCTCTGCCCCAGAGACTTTACTGAGCCTATGGCCATATAGCAACGTCCACATCAGCCCAGAGCAAAAGGAAGACATGACAGTAGCAAATAAAGTCATATCCTGACTGGAGAAAAGGCCATCAACCCTGACCCAACAGAGAAACCCTGCAATGGTTATCAGCTGTCAGATCCACCTGGGATTTTGCCAGAACTACCTGAGCTGGGCACCCGTACAGTGGGTGGGGAGTGGGGGGAACTCACAGCAGCTTTCCTTTCCTGCTGCTCCACTGCCCCGTGCAAGCTCTTCTCTCCAGCCAGAATCTCTCTGCGGGTTCACAAACCAACAGTGCACAGGGGCCACTGGCCGTCAGCCTTCACGCACACGACAATTCCTTTTTCTGCTAGAATAAGCTTTAGAGAGAGCCCACTTCTGTCCAATTTTCCCATAGAACGGAGAAAGTAGAAGAAACTTGGGGGAGGGGTTGTAAGTACAAGATTTAATCTGTAAATGCTGAGCCATGACCCCACAAGAAGCTGTAAGGAGCCCACAGAAGAATTGAAAGGAAGAGGGAGATCCGAGGGCATTTCAAACAAGGTGTCCGTGGGGGGAGGGGGAGAGCCCAAGAACAGGACTGAACACAAAGGAGAGTGTGCACTGTGTGAAGGAGTAACCCACGAGCCTGGTGTGGAATGAGCATTTCCCATCAGTGAGAGGCCGGCGGTCATGGAAGGCCAGGAGAGCCTTGCTATTGGGCCCATCGGTGTGCATCTTCTGCCATTTCCCCAATGCTCAGCCCAACAGGAGATGCACACAGGAAGACATCACAGCTGAGCCAGGCGGACACCATGGCAGCACCCACTGGACCCGGCCTGAGCTCAGAGACCAGAGGCGCCACCTGCCATTGAAATGACTTCTCGCTTGTTCTAAAGGAACGCATCCAGGTGAATTCTTGCAGATGAAAGATGGAGTCCATCAAACCAGCTCTGCACAGAGGTGCATCTTGATAAATGACGAGCTGATTTTTCTGGAAGGACTGCCAAGGGGCATCATCCAGGGCAGTCAACCACGAGTGGAGCTGTCCCCTTGTCGGGCCCTGGGGACAACCACACCCGTCAGATGATCGTGCAGCCACAGCAGTACCGTTCAGGGTGGTCTACTGCGTACACCTGGTGGTCGGTGCCATAGATGTAGTAGACACGCGTCTTCCCGTGGTACTGGTAATGAACTTCCGTGAGGGGGATCAGCTCAATGGTCTGGCGCTGAGGAGACAAATGGCCAAAAACACTTCAGTGTTCCTTTGAGGCATTTCACCGGCTCAAGAATCCTCTGCAGCTCCTTACTGCCTGCAGAATAACGCGCCTGCTGCCAAGTTGATAGGAAATCTGGAGTTGTTGGCACACTTGGTCTCCAATCTCCTACTATGCTCCTTCCTGAAGCCTAGGCTCTGGGCCAACCTGACTCCTTTAGCCACCATCTGCTTCTAGGTTCAGCTAGTGGGGCCATGGGCCTCCCGCAGAAAGTTCCAGGAAGCCACCGGCCAAAGACCAGGTCTTCTAGGAGAATTTATTTCTAAGCAAGGTGCTGCAGGAAGGCACAGGATACCCACTTTAAACATCTTTCAAAACCACCACCGAGACAGAATGGCGTGCTTGACAAATTTTGAATTGAAGTTTTAAGATGAAACATTAAAACTGAGTGCTGATGGTTCATGCTTAGAAGCCTAGCTACACAGGATGCTGAGCGCTGAGGATTACAGTCCAAAGCTAGCCTGGGCAGATAAATGCAAAAGACGGTTATTGCCAACTAACTAGCCAAAAGTGAGAAGCGAAGCTGTGGCTCAAGCCGTAGAGCACCAGCCCTGAGAGGCAAAGTCAAGTGAGAGCCAAAGGCCCTGAGTTCAAGCCTTGGTATCAGCACAAGAAAAAGATAAAATATGATGCCATACAAACTTCAAGGGCTGGTGGGTTATGTCTAGCTATCATCTAAGACCTCTCTCACTACCACCATCATGACCTACCTTGAAAAATGTCTCTCTAATGTTCATTCTTCTTCAAAAGCTGGGGATACTGAGGCCCATGGGCTCACTGAACTCCCCCCCCCACCTTTCCACAGAGACATCTTAAATCCCTCCTTCTCCATCCCCTTCTCTGAGCAGTGGGTCCACAGCCTGACCAACTCACATGGCCCTGAACACCGCACCCCAGCCTCACCTCAAGGGAGAGCCCAGGGCTCCCACAGAGACCCCATCTCTATTAGCATTCCAGGCTGCTGTGTGGTTAGCAAGAATGCTACACCCATGATGCAGGAACATGACTCCTGGGAAGTTATACCTCCCTGGAACTTTCTGCAGGCCTGGCCTTTGCTCTCTCTGGGCAACCTATCCCCATCCCATACTCTACTACAGAAACCTGAGCTCCCCAGTCTCCAGTTCCACACTAAGACAAGCCTCGTGCCCCTCATTTCACAGACAAGAACATTTGGGGCCCACAGAAAGGAAGAAAGCATCTAATACCTCAATGGAGGGTGCGTCTGAGAAGCAGGTGCCAACCTGGTAAGTAAACATCTCCACAATGTGTGGCTCCAACGAAAGGGCCCTAGTTCCTTCACCCACCCCCGCTGGGGCTGCTCCCTTTAGGCCTGAGCTAGCTTTTTCCATTGCTACAGAGAGGCTGTCTGACCCTGGCCAATTCCTCCCCTCTCTGGGCCTCTTGTCAGGCAGAGGAAAAGTCAGGAATTTGGATTTCACTCCAGGAAGACAGCCTCCCGTCAATCAATCAGCCATAAATAGTGTTCTTAGCCTTGTGAGACTTGTGCTATGGAGGTTTTGTATAAAAACCTGAATGCAGAAAGTCTGGGAGGCTGAGGGGTGGCTGTCCCTGTGAAGGAGAGTTAGGTCTCCTCAGAAGACAGGAGTAAGAAATGGCAGACACAACATGTGGGAGACAACAGGTGGCCTATCGGTGGCGCTTCTTCTTCCCACAATGCTCTGTGTTCCCGCTTAAAAGCTTCTTCTTTTCCCATCAGGCCCTGGGTTCCTGCTCAACCAATATGAAGAGCTGGGAAAGTACATTTACACCCCAGGCTCTGAGACCCCCAGCCAACAAGGCTACCGGGGCTGGAAGGCCTGGAAAAACTGTGAGCACTGCTGCCACCTGGTGGCCGTCAGGATAAGCCGCCCAAACCAGGGGGGTGGGAACAAAGATGGGGCCAAAGGCTGCCTGTGTTCTAGCCCAGACTCTGGCTTGAATCTCACCTTTTCATTCTCCCGTGTGAACATCAGGGAGCTGAATAAAAAAGACACTAGAAACCTACCAATAGCTTCCTGCCTCCCAGAATCACAATGCAGGCCGCTGCGGCCTCCTCCTGCTCCCGGGCTCTCTACCCTCTGCCACCTCACACTGGGTCCCGCTCCCCTCTGCTCTCCTCAGCCCTGACATTCTCAGGAAAGAGGCCCCAGGCTGAGAGACAGCATCACCCTTTCCCATGACCAGGGGAAGCAGCGACAGTCCAACCCCAGGAGCCTCGGCTTTCAACGGCCCAGCCCCAATCCCTGTCCAGCTCACCTGCTGCAGGACGCGGGCCCTGGAGGCCACAGAAGCTCCATGCTCCGCGATGCCCCTCTGGGAGGCCAGAGAGATGTCCCGTAGGGGGAAGTCCACAATGGGGTACACCTGCAAGAGACAGACACAGACACCTTCTCAGCCCCAGAGGAAGAGAAGGACCTCACCCCTTGAGCACTCTGTGGGCTGGGGCATGTGCTCTGCCTCTGCAGACCCTGAATGCACACCTTCTGAGCCCAGGAGTTCCCACACAAGGGGCAGGGTGCCATAATCAGAAATGGAGCCCATAATCCCCAGCAAACCTTGCATGGGCCTACTCTGTCAGGAAATACTGCTCGGTGCAGGACACCACAGCCCTCCGCACATGCGCAGTGATCCGTGTGGGTGTAGCTGCACAGTTCTGCACATACACATGCACAGTGGACTTACAGTGGCCTGGTGTGGACACACAGCTCTCTGCACATGCTCAATGGGCCCTGTGGGTGTACTCCTAACAGTTTTGCACATGCGCAGTGGTTCGTGGGGGGAGGGGAAACCCACAGCTCTGTACATACACAGTGGGCCCTGTGGATGTGGATGCACTAGCTGCTGCACATGGACTGCAGGAAAGAGCCAACTTCTATTTTCCACATCAAAACTGCCCAAGGATGTCAGGCACTGACCCACAAAGAACCCAACAGATGCTGGCAAGGGTATAGCTAAAAGAGAATGCTACTACACTGTGGGTGGAAATGCAAATTTGTGCAACCACTCTGGAAGGCAATATGGAGGTTCCTCAAAAGAATAAACATAGAACTACCTTAGTACCCAGCAATCCCACTCCTGGGCACAAATCCAGTAGAGCACAAACAAGGTTACAATAAAGCCACCAGCACAACTATGTGCATTACAGCATTGTTTAGCATAGTCAAGATATGGAATCAGCCCAAATGCTCTCAATGAGTGAATGGAACAAGAAAATGGGTATATACGCACAATGGAATTTTATTCATCTATCAGGAAGAATGATATTGTACCATTTGTAAGGAAATGGAAGGACTTGGGGAAAATTACATTAAGTGACATAAGCCAGACCCAGAGAAACACAGGTTGCCTGTTTTCCCTCACTTGTGGTAGATAGAATGTGCTTATAAATCTGTAAGTAGTATGCAGGTGGTTACAAATGAATTAACTGAAGTATAATAGACTCGGGGGAGCTCAAATAGTTTAATTTTTTGAGAAAGACTAGGTCAGAACCCAACAAAATCAGCGTCAGGATAGGGGTATTTGCAAGAGGGCGAGCAGAAGGGGGGTGGGGCAGACAAATGAAGTTAAGAATTCATTGTTGGTGGGGGAGGGGAGGGATAGTGGGATGACAAGAAGGGAAGGGTAACAATGCCAGCAAGTGGTGTACCCACAGCCTGAGTCATGACTGTAACCCTCTGCCCAGCACCTTTACAGTGAAATAAAATTAGAAAAAAAGGAATTCATTGCCTATACCACAAAATTAAGAAAAGTAAGGGAGGGGCGTATCTAAGAGGGGGTGAGAATGTGGAAGGGGTGACGCTGCTCACTGTGCATTGTCCCCATAAACTGCTATGTTAAGTGGCGCCTCCTTTGTACAACTACTTGAAGATAATAAACGTTTAAAAAGAAGGTGATCGCAATCTGGTCTTAAACAAAAAGAAAGTGGGGCTGGGTTCCCATGGAACTTCACTGGCAAACACAAACACTGGGCCAGGGTTCTAGCCGTGGGCCTGGAAAAGTGGTCTGGTGGCTGACTTCTCGTTGCCAGAGCTCCAGACTCTGCCAGCTCATTTCCGTCTGCCGTGGGAGCCTCTGCCCTTCCAACGCCCCCCCATCCCCACCCCTGCTCAGAAGCCACACAATCCACTCCCCGACTGTGCTGTGGGCATTTCCACAGAGAGGCCCGCCTTCCCCGCAGCCCACCCCAGCACCCCGGGCCTCCTGTCCCCTGGCCCGGACCCAGCCCGTCTCCATCACCCTGGCACTACCGCCACCCTAACACACGGCCTCTTTCTCTCCTTCACCAGGCGGGACAGCCGTGAGGGGCAGACATTTTATATGGTACCCACGGACCCAGTCCAGGCCTGGCACATGGGCAAAGCTCTCCACGTCTGTGGTGGAAGAGAGAGAGGAGCAGCCTCTTCCTTGCCTGGACGGCTCTGGCCTCGCCCACTTCCAGCTGCAGACCAAGGACAGCCCAGGGCAGGGGCCCCCCGAGGCCCCCATCTTCTGAGACACCCTCCTCACCGTGGTGTTTTCGTCCCGGAAGAGGTTTTCTCCCTTGGCCTTCGCTAGCAGCTCCGCGGGGCACCGAAGCTGACGCCCAGACACAAACTCAAACAGGCTGTTCTTCCTGGGAGAAGAGAGGAGTGTGCCAGGTGGGAAGGCGGGGCTGGGATCCTGCACACCTGGGCTGGAGACTGCGTGAGGGACACCGTGGGAGCTGGGGCTGAAGCCCCCCCACCTGGAGATCTAGAAGCCAGTAGCCACGCAGGCCACACAGGCCATGCAGGCCACGCAGGCCACGCAGCCCCTGGATGGACCCGATCCCACCTCCGAGGGGAGGGGACGGGCCCCTCAGCCAGGCCCTTCACGTCTGGAGATGAGGGAGGACACCACCGACATTCCTACCCATCGCTGCCCGCGATGGGTGATTGCTGCTCTTCTAGGCAGTGCTGGCAGAACCTGAACTCAGATCCACGTGTACCAAAGGCCGTCCTCAGCCTCCACCTTACCCCCAGCTCCTCTTCAGGGAGCTCTTCACCTTCCCTGAGACCCCACAGCCCCCCATACCAGGGAGAGTTGCTGTGTGTCAGGCCCGGCCCCCTCGCCCAGGCCCAGGCCGGCACTTACCACATGATGACCAGCTGGACGAAGTGCAGCAGCTTCCGCTCCCCCTTGCAGGTGCCACACATCCTGTGGCCCCGCCCCGAGCACGTGCAGCACCTGAGGGCCAGGCCTCCTCAGATCAGTCCCACCCCCAAGCCCTCCTCCCACAGGAAGGTGCTCGCGCGCCGGGGTGGCCTTCCATTGTGTTTATCTGTTCATGCCCTCCTTCCCATGGTGGCTCTCCCCCCACCTAACCATCCCTCCCTTCTGTGTCTAGCTCGAGCTGGTCCACGGTCTTATCCCTGGCCCTAGCAATGGCAGTCAGTACAAAGATGGACACAGGACCCGAATAAACACCGTGGGAGCCTTCCAAGAAGGGCTTGCTAGAATGATCAGGAAAGGAGGGGTTACTGGATTGAAACTATCAGTGGTCCCTTCCACCATGCCAGCCTGTGACATTATTTAAACACCTGAATCCAGCTGTACCTGAAGCCAATATACATACATATCCCCCTCGATTTTTACCGTGTGTAGACCTAGACAGGCTTGCTATTTTGCTGTTTTGCTCTGTGGTCAAAGCCAACTTCAGTGGGGTTCCTTTTACTCGCAAATGAAATAAGTCTCAGTTTCTTTCCCAACTAAAGACCTCCCTCATCAATCACGGTGGAAGGCAGATGGCAACCAATGAAGGACTCAGGCTGAGTGTCTGGGCCAAAGGATCACCAACCAACCCGGCGGTGAGCCGTTCTACGCCTCGCGGTTTGCCGTTTCATGGTAAAAGTGTGCACATGTGTGAGAGGAAGCGTTTACAAACTGCAGTAGCTCACTGGTCCCAAATCCTGAGCAGAGATAGGATGTTGCTCTTGTCAATCAACTTTCCTTGGTTCTTCCTCATGCAGACCCTGCTATATGGGCAGGGTCCTTCTCCTAGCTCCTTCCCCACTCTCTTCCTCTCTGCACTGACCCGTAGAGGTGGCTTGGTCACTGCCCATAAAATCCAGAAATGCCAGGCCTTGGGACAAGAGGAACCCCTCCCCACCACCCGCCTGCCGTGGGCTGCAAGACCCGCACCTACCTGCGTCTGTGGGATCCGGAGCACATGTGACACCTCCGGACCTGCCCCGCTTTGCTCCTGGCTCTGCTGCAGGATGGACATCGAACCTGCGGACCCACACTGCCTCTGCCACTGGCTCCCTGGAAGCCAGGCCAAGGGCGTCCCAAGCCTGGATGATTCCACCACAGCGGGCGGACCAGAGAAAGGGGCTGCGTACAGCCAGACTGGGGATGGGGAGGGCAGGGCCTGGGAGAGGTGGTTTTGGACAGCAGGGGGCAGTGTGGGGCAGCTCGAGTCTGGAGAGCCAAGGCCAGGGAGGAGTTAGCCTGGATTCTAGGATGGTTCCCACCCTGAAGGTGTGGTTGGTTGGTTGATTTCTGCAAAGGCTGAGGCCCCAAAAGGCCTGGAGATCTGCTTAGGCCCCTGTGCTGGTCTGGATTCAAAATCAGCCCAAAGCAAGTGCCCTGGAACCTCTCTGGAAGGGACCTCCTGGGAAGCACTCTTTACTAGCATGCTTAGGTTAGATGGGGCCACAGGACCTCAGAGAAGCCAGGGTCCTGGGTCCGGTGACTCACAGCCTTGGGGATACAAAAGGCTCTGGGGAAGGAGCCAGAGGACCACAGGCAGAGGCTGGAGCGGAGCAACCATAAGCCAAGACCCGCCCGGGGCAGGTCGGCCAGCAGCTAGGACAGGCCTGGACACCTCCACAGAGCTTCCAGAACTGCCTCTGCTGGACCCTGGTGGCCCGCACCTGCCATGTGAGCTGCTCAGGAGGCCTAGATCTGAGGATCCTGGTTCAAAGCCAGTGGGGGGCACACAAATTCGGGAGACTCTCATCTCCAAGGAACCAGCAAAATGGAGGCAGTGGAGGCAGAAATCAAGTGGCAAAGTGCCAGCCATGAGCAAAAGAAGCCAAGCGAGGAAGCGGCGCTGTGGCTCAAGCGGTAGAGCGCCCGCCTTGAGCTGAAGAGCTAAGGGACAGTGCCCAGGCCCAGAGTTCAGGGCCCAGGACCTACACACACAGACACACACACACACACACGTATCATGTATGTATATATATGCCAAGTGAGAGAGCAAGGCCTTGAGTTCAAGCCCCACCCTCCCTGGCTCCCCTGCCTGCTACAAAGGGGATACTGGGCCGGGGTATGGGGGGGGACCCCAAGGGCTTAGTGCTCAGCAGGAAGTCAATGACGGATGGAAAGGAGATGTCAAAGGGGAGAGCGCAGAAGCTACACTCTCACGCACACACGCGCCTCCCCGTGTCAGATGGGAAACTGGAGGGTCAGCACGGGCGACGACTTGCCTGGGCGCTCACCATGAGTGACTGGGGCCCAGGCCTCTTTCCCCGCCGCCCCACCCACCGTGCCCCCCAGGGTGGCTCCCCCACCCGCTGCCCACCCGTGACTCACCGTGCCAGCCCCGTGGCAGACGCTGCACTTGTAACGCCCACGCCCGTGGCATTTGTGACAGTCCTGAAAGCCAAGAGCTCTCCTGGCATCTAGTGTCCCAGGCGGGTCCCCCACCCCCATGATGTCGTGACCCCAAACAGAAGAGCTGCTTCTGGGAGAGACAGGATGGACGGGGAGGGAGGAGGGAAGCGGGACACAGGGACGCACGGGAGAAAGGCAGATCCAGGACCCCATGGCCAGCCATGGAGTGGCAGTGACTCTCCCCACACCCACCCAGGCTGCTCTGGGACCTGGTCCTCTAGCACAGCCTGCACACAGACACCGACACGGAGTGAGCCGCATGCACTGAATCATGGGATGGAAAGATCTTTGGCGAAAAGAATTGAAAGGTTTTAAGCCAGCTGATGGCTCACGCCAGTCATCCTAGCTACTCAGGAGGCTGAGATCTGAGGATCGTGGTTCAAAGCCAGCCTGGACAGGAATGTCAGTGAGAGTCTTATCTCCAATGAACCACCAGAAAACCGGAAGTGGCGCTGTGGCTCAAGTGGTAGTGCACTGGCCTTGAGCCGAAGAGCTGAGGGACAGCACCCAGGCCCAGAGTTCAAGCTATTATCTATTGATTAATAGATACATAGATGATAGATATAATAGACACATAGATATGACACATAGTCTGACAGATGAAAGACACATAGATATAAAAGACAGATAATTTGATTGATGATAGATAAATATATAGACATATAAATGATAGATATAATAGAAACAAAGATTGATAGATGATAGAAACATAGATAGATGATGGATAGATGATAGATACAATAGACACATAAATGATAGGTATGATAAACAGGTAGAGTGATTGGTAGATAGATGATAGCCCTGTAGGTAGATGATGGATGGAGCTGGTGAGTAGAACAATCTTTTTGCCACGAGAGACTTCCTTCCCTAACTGTGGTGTTCGGTTGCAAAGGCCCTGGGCCCTCCGTAGGTTCCCCCATTGGCCTTCTTTTCCCCAAGGAAGGAGCCTCCGGGCTGGATCTAGATCGGGGGTGCTTTGGCGTGGTGTGGCGCAGCATACGGCCTCCCATGATCCCCCTCACCTTGACCAGCGCAGAGTGAGGCACTTGGAACCTTCTGGTGTCTTCCTGAAACATGGGCGGCATCTGCACCTCCATCTCCCAAACGCCAGGAGAGGCGCCCTGTTGGGGCCCGTCAACAGCATGGTCTGCAGAAAGGGGGGGACATGGGCACAGCTGAGGGGAGCAGGGGGAACTCACCCGGTGCTCAGTGGGTTCCTGGGGCTCCTGGAGGTTACATGGGGGCCCACACCCAGGGGGTAAACTCCCGGATGGTGTCTGGCTCTTTTACTTTCTAGGTCTATGGCCACACCTCTGCCAGCAAATTCCTTAACCTTTCTGACCTTCGGGTCTCTCACCTCTACAATGGGGATACAGGATGGTGGAGAAAATCTCAAGTAGGAGAATGAAAGAGAAAATAGCAGCCCAAGGCTGGCAGCCACCAAGGGATCCTCATCCCCACCCCCTCTTCTTCCACACCCAACTCCTCGTCAGAGCTCTGATCTGCCGTGGTAGGAGGAGAGAGAACATTGGGAGAAATAACCCAGCAAGTCTTCCTGGAAGAGGAGACACCTGGCTGAACCTAGAAGAATAGACCTGAGAGGCCCTGCAGAAAGCAGACATGGCTCGGGGTTTCTGAGACAGAGAACCGGAGCCCCTAATTGGGGCTCAGGAGAAGATGGAAGGGTGCGGCTGTGGGCTGTGGGACTCTAGGCCTCCGGGGTGCTGTGGGATGGTAGGAGCCGGCAGACACCCAAGGCCATGCTCTCTGGCCCCGTAGAGAAGCAGCCGAAGGCAAATGCTGGGCTTCTCCAGGCCTCTTGTGAATGATTTGCCAGACAGGGAGCACAGAGCAGATCAGCACTGGAGAGGCTTGGAGATAAAGACTCCCACCCCATTCCACAGGGAAACTGAGGCTGGGCACAGAGGGGCCTCTTAGCCATAGTGAGAGGCTGAGCTACACACCCAGATAGCTGCCCACCCCAGCCTCACACCCCCAGCCGCACAGATCTCACTCACCAGTGAACGGCTGGAACGCCCACTCGCTTATCCTAGATTCGCTGAAGGTCTCCAGCCGGTACTACGGAAGGAAACAAGCCCAGGGTCAAGGCAGAGCACTGCCCCACCCCGCGGGGCTCCCACACACAGGCCCCTCGGGCTGCCTGGAGCAGGCTGACCGCTGCGGCTCTGCCCTGGATACACCACGCCACTGCAGGTGCTCAGCCAGCCCAGGACGTGGCCAGTTCAGCTCTCTGTGGATTTCTGCATCCAAATGTCCTGAGGCCTCCTACAGCCCCCAGTCCTTCACCCACGGGATCTCAGAGAGAGAAGGGATCATGGGCATCACTTGACTCTTCTTTTGATATGGGAGGCTCAGAGGGGTCAGCTGACTTTCCCCAAGTCACACAGCTAAAGGTGGCCTCTCCCTCCACTAGCCGCTGCTTGTGTGCTCATCAGAGGATGACAGTACGAATGCACCTGAAAATGCAACCTAGAAAAGATGTCCTAGCCAGGCACAGTGGCTCACACTTGTAATTTCAGCAACTCAGGAGGCTGAGAATCAAAAGGACTTCAGTTCAAGGTCAGCATGGATAGAAAGTCATGAGACCCCCCATCTGAACAAATAAGCCAGACTTGTATTTCCAGCTATGTAGATGGCAGTCCCAGGCTAGCACCAGGTATAAACGCTATCTGAAAACAAACCAAAGCCAGTAGCTCACACCTGTAGTCCTAGCTACTCAGGAGGCTGAGATCTAAGGACTGCGATTTGAGGCCAGGTCAGGCAAGAAAATCAGTGAGACTTGTATCTCCAATTAGCCACTTGAGAGCCCGAAGTGGAGCTGTGACTCCAGTGGTAGAGTGCCAGCCTGACGTGGTTTGGGTGTCACAAATGGGATTTCCCTGCAGTGAGGAATAATGATTTCTGTCCCCAGGACTCTTGGTGCCTGTCACACAAGCGCCTGCCTCTGTCTCACTGAGCCCCAGCCTCCCCTTCCCCCCCCGCCCCCCACCCCCACACAGCCCCTTACCCTACAGAGGGTCTGTTGCCTCAATTCCTGGATGACAAGGTCTCCCGCTGTCATGCTGGGGTAACAGCATTTGGAGTTCACGAAGCTGAGAAGGGCTTCCCGGGCCACCTCCTCCGTCACCACGGGGGCTCTGCTGGGACCAAGAAAATGAAGGTCTGGGAAGGGCCCGTGGGCTCACAGGGCTCATGGCCACTTAGCTCCGTTGTTTTGGGTCATCGTGATGCAGAGCATCCTGGAGGTAGAACAAGCGGCTCACTTCACGGTGGCCAGGGAGCAGAGAGCAAAGACAAGGTGTTTCCAGCCAAGACACGGTCTGCGGTCACTTCCAAGCCAGGCTCTACCTCCGGTGTCCACCCTCTCCTGTGTCCGCCACACTGTGGATGCATGAGTGGATGACCCCCAAGAATAGGTCGGGGCTCTCATGTCTACTAACTGGCGGCAGATTGTTGGCTACTATCAAGTCCCTAACATGAGCCTCTGGAGCTCACCCTTCCTCCAAAGTCTCCTCTTCCCTGAGCACACCACCTGCCCCAAACACACCCTTGAGGGAGAGGCCTGCGCCCCGCACTCCTTCCTAGCTGCCCTGGCCCCTGGCAGCCTTCAGGGCCCTTGGCTGCTCCCCATCCAGCCTGGCAGCCCTGTCAGTGCAGCCGGCATGGTGGCAGGAGACAGGAGGTGGGCTGGCAGGGGCTGTGGCATGTGGCTGGCAGCAGGATCGAGACACAAGGAAGCTGTCTCCAGGCCACGCCACTCAGCTGGCCGGACACCTGAGGTCTACCCCAGGTCGTGTCAATACCCAGAGGTTCTTGGCCCCAATGACGATGGAGACCAGGGTGTGGCGAACCTCTACCAGATGAAGGTATTTCCGCTTTGCAGGCCACGCGTGGCCTGTGCAAACCAAGTGGCCCCTGGAGGGTGAAGGCTGCCACAGACCACACTCGGGTAAGGCTCCGCTCACAAAAACAGGCCATGGACTGGGCTGGCCCAGGCTGCGGTTCGCAGACTCTAGTCTCCAGTGCTGGTTTTGCTGCCAACCTGAAGAACTCAGGGCATGCAGACCCCTGCAGAACCTGGCCCAGTGTGTTGGAGATGGGGTGACCCCCACGGCCCCCCACAAGGGATCCTGGTGTACCATCAGGGTTGACACCCCCATGGGGGGAGTCCTGGGGGGGGATACACAACCAAAAACCCACCTGTGTGCCAGGAACAAGGACCAGGGCGTCGGTGCCTGATGCTCCCCTGGGGCCTGGGAAGGTGGGAAAAATATCTGCTGTCCTGGAGGAGAGGGAGGGAAACGGGACGGGAGCTCAGTGAAGCCAGTATTTGCAGGGTTAAAGAAGGAACGTACTTCATATCCCTAGACTGAGTGAACACGGATTCCTAGGGCAGCGCCCAGGTATCGGACCCCGGTGGGGGGGGGGGGGCACGCAGGGAAGGGGTGATGATTCCTCCCCATCCCACCCAGATCCCGTCCCCAGGGAAACGGACAGCTGTGTCCTCCCCAGGCCTGTCCCCAGGGACCAGCACACCCCCCCTATGGGAGCCAGCACCCCCACACTTACTGACCCCCCTGAAGAAGCCAGTCGCAGCCAGGCAGGCCTTCCAAGAGTTCAGCAGGGGGCGCCAGAGGGCTCTCGGCCTCGAAGCTGAGGTCCAGCACACCTGTGGGCAGATGCCCCTGGTGACCATGCGGAAAGGGGAAATCTAAGCCTGGGTGCAGGGCAGAGATCCCCCTTCCCAAGCGGGGAGGAGGCGCCTCTCTTTTTTGTTGTTGGTGGTCATGGGGCTTGAACTCTGGGTCTGGGCGCTGTCCCTGGGCGCCTCAGCTCAAGGCGAGCATTCTACTGCTTGAGCCACAGCACCACCTCCGGTTTTCTGGTAGTTTATTGGAGATAAGAGTCAAGGAGTTTCCTGCCCGGGCTGGCTTTGAACCGCGATCCTCGGATCTCAGCCTTCTGGGTAGCTAGGATGACAGGCATGAGCCACCGGGAGGCGTCTCTCTTAAAGCTCAAGATCTTTATGCCAACAGTACATTTGCTAATAAAATGCCCTGTTTATGAAGACACAAAGGCTAGAAGGAGAAGGGAGGGGAGCCGCTGTAGGCTGAGGACACGGGCCCGCAGCAGAGGCCCGGCTGCGGGAGGGGCCTGGGTCCCACGGCCGGCCGTTCAGAGTGCTGGCTGCCGATGTGTGCATCGATGCCAACATTCCCCTCCGCACCTTGGTTCTCACACGACTTTGCTTTGTCTGTCTTTGTCTTTTCTTTGTTGGTACGGGGGATCGAACCCAGGATGTTGTTCCTGCCGGGCCAGGGCCTTGCCCCGGCCCCACATCCTGGCTCACGGCTTTGCAGACATGCCTTTAGTCATTGGCTACCGAGGACCCAGGGATTCAAAGCTGTTTTGCATAAAGAGCCCGGATGGAGCTATTTTAGACATGGGGACATGGACGTCTCTGTCTCTGTTTCCCAATGAGGTCTTTGGAGCACAATGCACCGGTGAGGAAGCCGGACTTTGTTCCAGTGCAGAGCTTCTCAGGTAAACAGGTGTGTGGAGGGTGAGAGGGTGGAATTTGGCCCCTGAGCCGTCATTCATCACCCCTGTCTTACACCCGCACCCTGGTATCTGTGTCCACATAATAGGTCAGTGTGCGTGGTCTCCTGTCCTTGTCAGGTAATAAATACCCAGCCAATGGCGTGGCTCCCGGAAGCCAGGGCTTCCCCCTTCATTCCCCTTTATGCCAGAAGACGTTGATGAATGCCTCAGGCACACAAAGACCACCGCGTCCCCTAGGATGGGCCTGCCCTCCCTCGTGGACGCCACATAGCTGGGATCAGACCGAGATGGGAAGAGGAAAAAATGAGTCAGGAAGCTGGAAGCCCCATCCGTCATCCACGGCCAGCCTGACCTCTGCGGCGGGGCGAGCCTCCGGGGCTACACTCATCCGGCCCGCGTGCCTCGTGCAAAAACAAAGGGCCTCAGGCTGGCCCGCAAGAATGCAGGCGTCACTGGACGCTGCACAATGCCCCACACAGGGTGTCCAGACGGGGCGTGTCCCTGGCCCCATAGCCCCAGGGCTGAGTTTGGTTGGGGGACAGCTGTCCAGCTGGGCTGGCCTGTCCCGAGCTGCGTATGGAGAGCTGAGGCTCTCCAGGCAGGTGTAGTTCCTGCCTCCATTGCTTCTTTCCAGAGAAAAAGCAAAATGGTAGCCTGGGATGTAGCCAGGACAGTCAGCTCCAGCGTGCAGAGATGAGGGGAGAGGAGAAGGGGGGGAGGGAGGGAGGGAGGGAGGGAGGGAGGGAGGGAGGAGAAGAATGCTTAGAACGCTTAAGTTTAGCCATCATCCCAATGGTGCCATGCAGTCACTTGGAAATCTTTGCAAAGACAATTAGACAAGACGTTGGTTGTTTCTGCTCACCAAGTGTGAGCTGCTTTTTCCTGCATATGAAAGGGGTTTTCCTTAGGCAGAGAGACACCGTGGGCAAGCCTTTCACCCTCGCTTTGCTGTTGTTGTTGTTGGTGGTGATGGTGGTGGTCATGAGGCTTGAACTCTGGGCCTGGGCGCTGTCCCTCAGCTCTTCAGCTCAAGGCTAGCACTCTAACCACTTGAGCCACAGTGCCACTTCCGGTTTTCTGGTAGTTTTATTGGACATTAGAGTCTTACAGTCTTTCCTGTCCAGGCTGGCTTTGAACCATGATCCTCAGATCTCAGCCTCCAGAGCTGCTGGGATGACAGACCTGAGCCACCGGCGCCTGGCTTCTCTCTCCCTTTTGAAGATGCCTTTCTCTTCTCCGCAGAAGATCAATGGAATCCATGCTTCCCGCCCAGATTCCGGATGAGTCATCTTGAGTATGCAGGTGTCCTGCTGGACTCCTGACTGTAAGGTCCGCCCCTGGATGGCGAGCAGACTCCACCCTCCTCCCAGCAAAGTCTCCACCCAGTACCTGCGTTACCTAGGCAACTGGGACACCTGAAAGAGGTCACATCTGCATCCGCTGAGGTCACATCTGAATTTGATGTGGCCACACCTTTCCCCGCCCATACCCTAGATAAGGCCTAGCCCAGGCCCAGACGCTCTCTCTCTGCTCTTTCTGCTCTTTTCTAGCTCTTTCTCAGCTCTTTCCTTCTCTTCTCTTTCCTAGCTCTCTCTTTCCCACCTTTCCCAGACACTCTCTTTTCTAGCTCTTTTCTAGCTCTCTTCTCTTCTCTTTCCCAGCTCCCTTCTCTTTTCTAGCTCTTTTCTCTCTCTTTCCTCTCTCTTTCCCAGCTCTCTTTCTTTCCCAGGCCTTTCCCAGCTACGTGGAGTGCCAACCTTGCCTGGTCCCAGCAGGTCTACTGAATAAACCTACCCCTTACCTGAATACCACGTGCGTGGTGCTGTTCTTACTCAACTACCTCTTTTTAAAAACCTAATACTGACTCCAGCCGTGAGCTTCCTGTCTCCTCTGAGAGCTGTTTGGGGGGACAGCAGCCTCTCTCAGATGGCCTGGCGAACAACGGGCATGCAGCATGCACATAGGAGTGTGCAGTGCACAGAGCGTCACACACAAGGCACACAGCCAGGGTGCACAAATGGCCCCGTGGCTGGAATCACGTGGAGAAAGCACAAGAGGAGATTCAGGATCAAATTCATAAAGACAGAAAGGAGAGCCAGGGGTCCAGGGGGAGGGGAGGGGGCAGGGACACAGAGAAAAAAATTGTTCTGGCAGGGGATACAGGTAATGGGCGCACAGCAATGTGAATGTGCTGGATTGTTCACATATAAATGGTTAAGATGGTACGGCTTACAAATACCTCATCACACATAGTAGTCACTCTAAAGAGAGAGATTCAAGCAAGACCCCAGCTCATCAAACAAGACTGGTGTGTTTGTGTACATCTGTAATCTCGGTTACTCGGGAGGAAGATCACAGCGTGAGGCTAGCCCCAGGGAAAACACGTAAACCACTACTCAAAAGGCAACCTAAAAAGCAAAAAGGACGGAGGGCGTGGCTCAAGTGGCAGGGCTCTTGCTAGCCAGCTCGGGCCCTGAGATCAATCCTCAGCACCACCCAACTATAAATAGGAATTCAGACGATCAGAGGATAAAGAAAAGGAAAAACAAAAACTCTGTTTTGCCAAGAAGAACGAGCGCAGGAATGATCGGTGGCCTCACGAGGCCAGAAAGCCTGGCCATCCCGAAGCCCGGCTCTCTGCTGTCTGCGGAGCAAGGTCCCCGGCCCTTTCTCAGGGATGGGAAGGGGCTTCCTGCACCAGGAAGGGAGGACGGATGTGGGAGGAGGGGGCTGTGGAGAGAGACGGGAGAACACAGCATTGTGCTGTGCGTGTGAAATGACAACTCTGCTCCCCGCTCTGACGAACAAACACAAGACAGAACAGTTGAGGGACTCAAGCCACACAGCCATTAGGTGGAGGCAGAGGGTGGATCTGAACCCAGGTCTGCTCCAGGGCACTGCGGCTACCAGCCGCTCTCTTTCTCTCTCTCCCTCCCCCCCCTTGCCCCTCCTGGGGCTTGAACTCAGGGGCTGGGCACTGTCCCTGAGATTTGTTGCTCAAGGCTAGTGCTCTACTACTTGAACCCCAGCTCCACTTCTGGCATTTTGCTGGTTAATTGGAGGTAAGAGTCTCACGTCTTTCCTGCTCAGGCTGGCTTTGAACCTTCAGACCTCAGCCTCTTGAGTAGCTGCGATGACAGGCATAAGCTATGGGTACCCTGCTCCAACCTCCTTTTACCCATGGGGAAACTGAGGCTCAGAGAAGTTAAGTGACTTACCTCAAGAGCACACAGCCAATTTAAAGCACCATCTAGACTTGAACCCTGGCTTCCCAATAGGGTGCCTTTCCTAATTAGGGATCAAAAGTTTCCTTTCATTTATTTTTCTCAACATAGAACTTTTCCTCATAAAACACCATTTCCTTCCTTAGATCTATAGCGGTCTGACATGCCACTGCAATTCTATTCTGATGATGACAGGACGGGCTTATCAGGACTGTGCTTCATATTTGGTAATGAGCATGCTCTTGGCTAGAAGACTGTGCTGAAGATTGCTCACAACTGGACAGGCACCTGTAGCTCACACCTGTAATCCTAGCTACTTGGGAGGCTGAGCTCGGGAGGATTGCAGTTTGAGACCAGCCCAGACCAAAAAGAAATGCAAGAGACCCCTTTTGAATGAGTTCAAGTCCCAGTACCACCGAACAATACACTGTTCCCAAGCTCTCGATGGATTCCCGGGCCCATTCCCCTCCGGCGTGAGGGACTGTCACTGGAGAAAGGAAGGAGAGGCAGGTCCCTGTCAGGGAGGGATGGGCTTGGGGTGATCACTGACTTCCTGTTCTCTTATCCAGAGGCAAAACAGAGGAGGCTGTGAGATGCCAGTCATCCACAGAGGCGGCAAAGGGAGAGAGGGAGAGAGGGAAGGAGGAAGAAAGAGGGGAGAGGGGGGGAGGGAGGGGCCGCAGCCCAGTGCCCCCCCCTCCACTTACTGTCCCCACTGCGGTCTCTGTCCATGGTAGGAGCGCGGCCGGCCGGGAGGTGGTGTGTGCTTCAGGCTTCAGAGCTCAGGGCAGCGCGGGTCGGTCCTCTCTGCCCCTCCCACAGCAGGTCCATTGTTTGGCGATCTGCACACAACACAGGAAAGCTGCCCATGCCCTCAGCACCTCCCCCTGCGCCCCCCCCACCCATGCCACACCTGAGCAAGGCAGAGCTGGAAGTGTTGTGGGGAGCGGGGAGCCATCTACCCCCTGCATAGGGCTTTCTCCCCTGGGGAGAGCAGCCAGGGGGGCCCCAGACTCCTGGAGAGGGGGGGGGGGTCTCTGAAGTGCTGGGTCCCAGCTTCCTGGTTGGCCCTGGAGGTTCAGCTTAGGAGCCAGGCATTCTCCAAAGCTACACAGCAGCCTGGGCCCTGTCTGTGCCCAAGTGAGAGTTTCCCCAGAGCTCTTGCTTGGGGCGGGAATCCCACCCCTCCTCTGACTGAGTCTAAAGCATGAATGTCCAGAGCCGGACAGCACCGGCCTGCCCCTCCCCCCCAAACAAGGATCCGTTGCTCTGGATGGACTCGACCACCACCAGCACACAGGATGTGCCCCAGGGCCCTTGAGCAAGCCCCTCATCGCATCCCCTCCCCAGAAGGGCAGGGACCATTTCCTTGGGTCCCTGCCCAGCCCGCGTGGGCCACCCCTCCCCCCCATGCACACAGGACCAGACTCCACATTGGACCTCCCAGGAGGTCTTGGACCCTCTCTTCTGCCCTGCCCCCTCCCCTCCACCCCATGCTCACCACCCACCCCCACCAGAACACCAGAGCCGCAGTGGTCTCGTCCCCAATGCCTCTGAACAGACAAGTCGCTCCCCACTGGTGGATCTTTTTTTCTTTTTCTTTTGTGGTCATGGGGCTTGAACTCTGGGCCTGGGCGCTGTCCCTCAGCTCTTCAGCTCAAGGCGAGCGCTCTACCACTTGAGCCATAGCGCCACCTCTGGTTGTCTGGTGGTCAATTGGAGATAAGAGTCTCAGAGGCTTTCCTGCCTAGGCTGGCTTTGAACCATGATCCTCAGATCTCAGCCTCCTAAGTAGCTAGGATGACAGGCGTGAGCCACCAGCGCCCGGCCCACTGGGGGGTCTTTGAGCTGGGGAAGAGCTTCCCAGGGAGACTACAAGCCGTGGACCGGGCAGCAGCAGCCCTAGACCATGGGGAAGGAGGGTTGGGTGTCAGAGGCCCTGCTGGGGTAGAGGCCGCCGAACGGAGGCTGGGACCTGCAGGACAGCGTCCACATGGCCGTGGGATGGGGCCTGGGAGGAGCGGCCAGCCCGAGCCCAGAGTAAACGGAGCGGAGTGGAGCGGCTCTGTGCGTCTGGTGTCTTTCCCTTTGCATGTGTTCAAAGCTCATCCACGGGAGCGCATGTGTCGGCATTTCCCCTCTTGAAGGCTGGCACCCGCGTGTGTATAGGTGCACCCTGCCCCCCTCCCCATCCATCGGAGGTCGTGGCTTCTCCCGAGGCCGGGTGGGGACAGTGCGTCTTGGAGAGTCGGCCCCTCCCGGCTGGCTAGACATGGGGCTGCGCGTCCCGCGGTGACTCCGAGCAACTTTCTGAACCTCTCCTGACCTTGTGATCACCTCGGCAGCATCCCTGCCCCCCCCACGGTGGCATCAGCGTGGACCCCCCATTGGCTCACATGGTGTCCTCTTGACAAAGGCTCAGAGCTGTCAAGTGACCTGCCCACGGTCACAGAGCATGGGGCCCAGTTGGTGCCTTAGGACTCAGGCTCCCCAAGGCAGCTTGTCCAAGCCTACTCCCCCCAGATCCCCTCCTCACCCTCGGTCTCCCGCCCCACCCCCAACCCCTGGGGGCCACGATGAGCGGACACCAGGTGCCAGTGCCACCTCACCCCCACTCAGACATCTGCCCAACCCCAGAGCCACCCCAACCCCAGAGCCACCCCAACCCCAGGGCCACCCCAACCCCAGAGCCACCCCAGCCCCAGAGCCACCCCAGCCCCAGAGCCACCCCAGCCCCAGAGCCAACCCAACCCCAGAGCCACCCCAACCCCAGAGCCACCTCAACCCCAGAGCCACCCCAACCCCAGAGCCACCCCAGCCCCAGAGCCACCCCAGCCCCAGAGCCACCCCGAACTTCAGAGCCACCCCAACCCCAGAGCCACCCCGAACTTCAGAGCCACCCCAACCCCAGAGCCACCCTAAACTCCAGAGCCACCCCGACCCCAGAGCCACCCCAACCCCAGAGCCACCCCAGCCCCAGGGCCACCCCAACCCCAGGGCCACCCCAACCCCAGGGCCACCCCAACCCCAGGGCCACCCCAACCCCAGGGCCACCCCAACCCCAGGACCACCCCAACCCCAGAGCCACCCCAACCCTGCAAAAGCCAGGAATGCCCGGGGCTGGCGCTGTGATAACATTGTTCCCGGCTTATCTGTGGCCAGACGGCCGGAGCCCGCGGTGCCCACGCGGGAACCGAGGATGGCCCAGAGGAGAACGCGCTGACACAAAGAAGGAGCCGTCCAAGTGGAGGCTCCACCATGCTGTGCCCCTGCCCTCCTTCCCGGGGTGCCAGGGAGACCGGCACTCCCCCCCCCCCCCCCCCCCGCGGCCTCCGCGAGCCTCCCGGAGCTCAGAGCAGGGACTAGGCCTGCCATCCCGCCAAGGGCGGCCGCAGGCTCTGCCCCACACATTCCAAACACCCCGAAGGCGCAGTGCTCCCTCAGATGAGGACCTCCACCTCGCAGCACGCCCGCGCCCTGCCCAGCCTGCCCTCCTCCCTCCCACCCTGTGCGCAGACAGCTCGCCTCCGCTCGCCACCCATCCTGCTCATGGGGTGTCTGTCTGCCCGTCTGTCTGTCTTCCTTCTCTCCTTCTTCCTTCCATTCCTCTCTTTCCTTCTTCCTTTCTTTCCCTCCCTCTCTCTCTTCCTCTCTTTCTTTCTTCCCTCCTTTCCTCCCTCTTTCTTTCTTTCTTTTCTTTCTTTCTCCTTTCTTCCTTCCTTTCTTTTTTCTTTCTCTTTCTCTCTCTCTTTTCTTCCTTTTGTACTGGAGCTTGAATTCAGGTCCTGGGCCCTGTCCTGAGCTTTGTCACTTAAGGCTGGCACTCTACCTCCTGAGCCACAGCTCCACTTCTGACTTTTGTGCGGTTAACTGGAGACAAGAGTCTCACGGCCTTTCCTGCCCTGGCTGGCTTTGAACTGCGATCCTCAGAGCTCAGCCTCCTGAGTAGCTGGGATGACAGGCGTGAGCCACCGGTGCCGGCTCACCAGGAGCTTTGATGTCAGCTATTTCTAGAGAGTATCTTTCCCAAACCAGAGATCTGATGTCCCGGTGCTTGCCTCCAGGGATGGCGGGCAGCAGCCTGAGCCCCCTCGGCTCGGGTCTCGGCCACGGTGCTGGAAGGTGTTTCCACGGGAGCTGTGGGTGCTCACTGGTGAGAAAGCAAGCCTGGCCAGATTCAGCGCCCTGCCTGCTGCCCTCTCTGGGCTGGAAATGGGTGTGGGAGGCAGGAGGACCGGGCCTGACGTGGCTGCCACGGCTCCGCCCTGCCGCCTGTCCCCTGTCACTCGTCCCCGCCGGCCCTCCCGGCCTTCTCATGGGATCCATTTGTCTCCGAAGCCATTTAGCATTTTCAAAGGCCAATCCATTGGGTCACTGAAGTTTCCCGGCATGAACGGCATTTGCTCGGTGGCGGCAGGCCGGCTCCCCGCGTGGTCTGCGGCTCGGCCAGCCTGGCCGCCGTGGCCCGGCCTGGGGCAGCACCGCTGCTGCTGGACACCTCAGACACCCCGCCATCAGCTCGCCGGAGGCCAGGGAAGGGAGGCGCTGGCCGGGGTCACACCGCAGCCAGCACAGCCGCAAACCAGGGCTTCTTCCAGGAGGAAGGACCAGGCTCCGCACCCCGAGGTCCCGGGTGTGAAACAGCCCCGTGGCCCACAGGACCCTGTCCTGGCAGAGACCTTGAGGGTACAGGAGCCATAAGCCTTGTCAGCATGGCTCCCCAGAGAATGAACACTTAGCAGGGCGCTGGCAGCTCTGCCTGTCAGCTACTCGGGAGACTGAGATCTGAGGATGGTGGTTCAAAACCAGCCCAGGCAGGAAAGTCCATGAGACACTTATCTCCAATGAACCACCAGGAAACTGGAAGTGGCGCTGTGGCTCAAGTGGTAGAGCGCTCGCCTTGAGCTGAAGAGCTGAGGGACAGCGCCCAGGCCCAGAGTTCAAGCCCCAGGACCGACAAAAAAAACCCAAAAGAATATCTGATGGGGGGGTCTCCTGTCTCCTGTCAAAGAGACTGCCCCGCCCGGCAATGGGGGTGTGGTCTAGCCCAGCCTGACACCTGCTCCCTGGCCAGCACTCGCTCCTGCCCTCCTCTCCCCCTCCCCAACACAGGCTGCAGTTAGAAGCCTCCAAGCCTCACTCCCGCCTGCCCTTCCCTCCCCTCCCTCCAGGCCCCCTCCCTCCCACTCCATGGTGACCCCCTTCTACAGGTCCCCACACTCTCCACCCCATCTCTCTGCTCCTCACCTGGGAGGGGTGTGCTCAGGACAGAGCCAAGGCAAACCCAGCGGCCAGAACACCGTGACTGCTGGGGGCGGGGGACACAGCAGCGCCAAATGCCCCTTCCTTGCCCCGCAGAGCCAGGCACAGGCCACACAGAGCCTTCCCTGGTCCCTCTTCCCGGCTCCCTCCCTCTGCCCCTGACCTCTCGGGCTCTCTGGGGCTCTGTGGGCAGCAGGACAGCCATCTGGACCTGGGTGGAAATGCCCTGTTCCTCCCCACAGACCATCCACCAGACAACAGCTCCGTGTCACCACTTACCATCCCTTGCCTTTGCTTCCTGCTGGTAGGCCTCTCCTTCCCTGTGGGGAAGATCAAGGCCGAGGGGAGGATGGGAAGGAGAGGCTGGGCACGTCTGCTCTTGCCTGTGAGACTAGCTATCTGGGAAGCAGAAGTAAGAGGATGGAGGTCTGAGGCCAGCCTGGGCAAAAGCACAAGACCCTGTCTTAAAA